GGTAGTTGTACACAGTGGTAAGGTTCCCCCAAGCCTAATTTTTTACAGGTTAAAAGCCACCAGCTCCCTCAGCCATTCCTCATATGACTTGTGCTCCAGACCCTTCATCAGCCTTATTGCCTTTCTCTGGCCATGCTCCAGCCCCTCAATACCTTGGAGTGAAGGGCCCAGAACTGGACACAGCACTCAAGGTGCAGCCTCACCACTGCTGAATGCAAGGGAACAATCACTGCCTTGGTGCTGCTGGCCACATACTTTCTTGTACAAGACAGGATGCCATTGGCCTTCTTGGCTACCTGGGCACACTAATACCTCTATATTAGTTGGTGGGCCTCAAGATGTAGTGAAGAATTTAATATATAGGTATCCTGGAGATGCAATTAAGGACAGTCAAAATTAAAAGAATAGTTGGCTTTTATACCCCTATAGATACCCATATGTCAAGATCAGTAAGAAGGCCAGCTCAGAGAATTTATATGAATGATACTTTGAAAATAATTGTTTCCAGCTATGTATATTTATTGGTGCACAAACAAATACCTACTCTCATTTTAACAATGCCAAATGCACAAGATCATGGGGTTTTATAAACAGAGAAGAAACATAATAAGGTATATTCTTGGCTTGTGTTGGCCTTCTAGATTTTACTGGATGAGAGATGAAAACCACTGAACATTCCTGTAGGTTTAATACTAATACATTGATCTGAATGAGAAAGGGGAAAAATAGATTACTGAGTTCTAAGGAACAGATACAAGGAACAATATATTCACCTCTAAACTTTTAATGTAACTATATTCATTGCCTTTCAGATGCTAGTGACACAAATTAAATTATTAACCTACAAACCATTTAGATCTACTATCTATTTTTAAATTATGACTATAGGCAAAATCAGTAATGCAAAATATTCTTAAAGGTCAGGATACATCTATGTTTTTTCAGTATGTTCTGAAAAGATGAACTGTTAACTATTGTATAGTATGAACTACAAAGAAAGTATAAAAACAGTCTTTAAATTCACCCCAAGATAAAACAAGTTGTCTGGTTTTAATGATGGGACACATTGGTGCACACAGTCTTCCCATATAGGAAATACAACATGATCAATGCTGATGATAAGTGCAAAAAAAAAAGTATAAATAAGACCCTAACTATAAATTTTTTTTCCTGTTAAGATCTACTACTCACTATCTTCCATTTCATATGTCAGTAAAAGATGGTAGCCATACAACTTTACTAAAGTTTTGGTCTTAATGAAAATCAAAAGGACCAGCTTTTAACACCACATTATATTAGTACTGTTTTACCATGATACAACACCACTTTATGGTTTCACAAGTTAAATGATCTAAATTCATGCTGGCTCAATCCTCGAATGCATGGCTGCCCCACTCCCATGCTCTGACTTCAGTACTCGCATGACTAGGCAGTGAGCCAAGTTCACATTCTGAGCTGGCCATCATAGCCCTACCACAAGTGGTTTTATATGCCATGATTTCTTTTCAAAAAGGAAGATTAGAAAGGTTTTGCTGCAAGCAGACTAAGAACAGACCAAGTAGTTTTTTTACCAGCAAGCAAACTATAAAAGCAGTACAGTACTTAAAAGTATGTCAATAATCAGGTTATTGATTCAGAAAATGAGGACAGTAGCTCAAAGTGTTTAATGGAACCAAATTTCAGGTGTTTTTGAATTTTACAGTAAACTCCAGTGTTTTAATGAATTATTTCAGTTGCTAAGATCAAGCCTTCATGTTTGGGGCTCTGAATTTTCAGAACATAGTCTAAGATGAAGTCCTCCAGTTGCTAAATCTATTAAGGCAGTGCCTACTGCCTGCTCTGCTGATACAATACTTGGAGGAAGAAGAAACTGTGCAACTTAAGCAATTACAGTATTCTTATTGTTTTATTTATTGTTTCAAATAAATAAATAATGCCACACTTTGTCTTGAAATACAATAAAGTTTTTCATAAAATCCTATGGCAAAGGTACTCCTTCTATCTTGAAGTACATATTTCATTCTGAATAAGTAAGTATTTCCAAGATACAATGTAAGTAATGTGAATGCATATATTGCCAACATTTATGCAGTTTTAAAGAAATGAGATTACTTTCATGCTGAGAGCTAAGCCTTTTCAGGTTGAATTGGATGAGTGACAAGACATTTAAAACCCTAAAAATATTTAGCAGTATATTTCAGTTCTTATTTTCCACTCCTAAAACAGCAGTAAGTTTACCTTGGTGGCTTTGTTGATGCTAAAAAAAAGCGCCAAAGAAAATAAAAAGAAAAATGGGCCAGGATTTCAAAGATTCTTCTGGGAGCTAGAGGTCTAAGTTTCATTAAATTTAATGTGATTTATACGCTTAAAGTTTTTAGGTTTCTTTAAAATCCAAGCCAGAACCAAATAACCTTAAAAGTTTCAGAATTATTACAAGAGAAAAGTATAACTCTTGATTCAATTAAAATGTCAGCAACCTGACAATTTCCCAAACAGAAGTTGTTTGACCAAACACAACCAGTAAAATTTAATAATCAAAGCTATCCATACAATGGCAGAAAAAATAAAATTTTAAAGTTTCATTTCTTTCCTTTATAGGCTATCAAATAAGACTAAAAATGGTTCTGTTTCAAATACTGAGAGGCTGTGGGTCAAGAAGTGACCCACCAGCATACTGATAAATTCTAATGCAGATTACATGACAAAGAATGGTAGCCACTTCTTTTCCTTTCACATTTTTTTTTACTACCTTACTGAAAAAATAACTGTTATGGAGACTAAGAAGTGACTAAAGGCTGTTTATTCATACACATTATTTGTTTGACAAATATCTATGTCAGAAGAGGGTTGGATTAGATTGATTTCCAATTGTTCTGTGTTTCCAAGCCATTGCTGAAATGCTTCAAGGAGAATGGATATGAGCTGGGATATGTATTCTGTGGGGGAAATGGAGGCAGGGGAAGGGAGAGTGCATGGAATTAATTGAACTGTAAGGAAAATATTTTTGAAATAAAATCTGAATTTATACTTTTTACATCTGCTCAACATTACTAGAAATAACATCTTAAGAAATTTTTGTTTCAAGATTACCTTCTGCATATTTTTGTTTCAAGGTTACCTTCTGCATATATTACCTTCTGCATTACCTTCCATATATATGTGGAATAGAGCTGCCAACAGATGCAAGCAATAGATCTTACCTCCTACAGTGGTATTCAGAGATATTAAAGTCACATTGAAGATGTAGTGCCTTATTGAAGGCTATTACCTTAAAGCCAGCAATAAGTGTAAAACCCTAGTTTTACAGTATAGATAGAAAAGCACAAGAAAGAAATGGCAAGATTTTTAGAAAAGAACTGATGTTCTTTCACTCATATATTATATGTTAAATACTAGATTTTAAAAACAATTCATATATAGTTTCTCTTTAATAGCTATTATACAATGGTTATCTTATTTACCTAGAAGTCCAATTGTGTAAGTAAAAAGGTAAATATTGCACTGTAAGGAATACTACTTGAAAGCACAACATATACAGATGCAGGAATACTGTTTTCTTCTTAAAAAAAAAAACAAAAAAAACACATCAGGAATTACATTACCTATAATCACAACAAGACCTTATGAGAAAGGTATAATAAATATTCCAATTCATCTTTTTGTAAAGTTCTGTAAAAAACAGCTTCTATTTTAAAGTAACATCTTCACCACCTCACTTTGTTTCTTAGTATACTTCTTCAATAAAGGAAGTAACTAGAATAAAATTGCATCTTAGGGATCAATTGTTTCAAAAGGAATTCCAAACAGAGAAAACAACTTTTGGTATGGATTTTGTTAGTAATACATGAACTTTCATACCTTCACACCACTAAAAGTAGAAAAACTCAGAAGATTTACAATAACATATGCTAATCTCCCTTAAAACATTATTTTTCTTATAAACTAATAAAAGGAAACTCCATGTTCTAAATTTAGGTGCCTACATCATCTGTGTAATAGATGGCAGAACCGGTAATGTCATCAGCTGGAGATGTGGATGTTAGAGTGAGCAGTATTCATCTCAGCTGCCTAAGTGCCTATTACCCAGTGTCCTTTCACACACTACAGGTTATCAGAATGCATAACTGGCAGATGCAACACAGGATTTACAGGAGACTTGCACAGCCTCGGCCACAGCAGCCAAGGCCACGTCAGATGTCCTACAACATCTTAAATGGCATGGGGTACTTATATGAAGGAAATTAATTAATCACAGTAAATCAGAGTGCTATTCTGTTCATCCAAAAGTAGATGTCTGTATCTGGTCAAGTTAATAGCCATCTAAAAAGCAGATGTCTCTATAGATACTTATGTGATTGGTGCTTTAATTTGCCATCCCCAAGCTAGATGCAGTTTCATATAAATTAAGCGTCCTGAATAAATATAAGGACAGAAATCTAGGAAGAATTACAATGCAGAATATGTTAGCATGCCTTTTCCTAACAGATGGTTCAAGTGATGTCATGGTAAAACTTTGATTTTAGAGCTTACTGTACTATATTCTGAAATCCTGAATCACTTTTGGTTCAAGAAAGAACTTACCACATAAAGATCATAAATTTATGATACCAACTCAAAGTCTGACTCATACGATTCTGAAGTTTCCTGAAAAATTGAAAAACTAGGATTGCTAAAACCAAGGTTTTTTTTTTTTTTTCGCAATGCCGTTTAACATCTCTCTGCTGTAATTAATGTGTATTTTTCACTTCCTGAAGCTTAAGAATACTTCTAAAGCAACAGAAAATCAGGAAATGAGTCCCATCATTTCACCTACACATGCTACTCTGCATTAAACTGAAAAGATCCCTAATCTTAAATTTTGACACATCTTTTTTATTTATGTTTATATAAACTCTTTTTATTATACAGAATTTGATCAAAACAGAAGACAGGAAAGTTGCAGAAAAGAAAACAACAGAGCAGAAATAATTAAAATTCCCAATAATTAGAAACTTACTTACTATTGACATCAACGTTAGAACATAGTGCTGTAAATTCTGCCCGTGGTGATGAACCATTTTGGTGTCAGCTGTGACCATCACTTCTACATATCTTGGATAGGAAAGAAAACGTTTCTTCCTGGAATGTGGATTGCTACCATCCTCTATGGAGAGGTTATTTAAAGCATACTCTAAACTGAGAGCCTTCTGTAAAACACTGCTCTTTTCATCTAAACTGCTGAAGGTTGGATGTAATAAAGTGC